ATTTTCGTGAGGATTCCCTGTCTCTGAGTCGCTATATTCCTGCGCACTTGGGGGTTTATACACGCTTTTCGGAGAATCGTCTCGTATAGCTCGTTGATACCGAGTAATGCGTTTGATTTTGGGCTCAATAAGATCTCCAGCATAGCACGGGGGTCAAGGTCATCATTTATAGCCTTACATGCAGTACTAGCCAGGATGAACAAACAGCTAACCCGTTGAGAGAGTAGCTTCACGTCATTCTGACCTAGAATGGATGATAGGACTAAGCTACTAAGCTGATTCTCCACGAATATGGATATATCATTTTGATTCGATTGGAGATCAACATCGTGCAGGCTGTCTGTCTTGGACCGATAACGTTCGAGATGATGAGCCAAATCGGACTCGGCTCTGCTGGTAACTAATAGCTTGGTCGGGCGTGCTTGTGGAAGCAAATCGAGAAGATTATGAAGTAGCTTTCCTCGATCTGCCTTGTCGCATTCATCCAATGCATCAATTACAAGAATCAGGCCCGATCCCTTTACGGGGCCTATGACCATTTCCCGGAGCTTATCCACAAGAGGAGCGAATGAAGGATCAGAATGAAGCTCCCTGATGCCGTGAATGACGGAGGGTCGAAGTGTAAGATGATTCGTAGCGAACTGATAGGCGATCGTCTCGCAGAATCGGTGTGTATTGCTGGTCTCTCGACGGTTCTTGTCGAAGAAGAAGCAGGCTCCTAGCTTTCTTTCCCTTCTCCATTCGTCTGATAAATGCTTGGCGATTGTTGATTTGCCGGCGCCGGCTACATCTGTAAGCCACCAGATCTGAGGGGAACTGGGATCGTCCGCCCATTCACGAATGGCATTAAGCACATTTATTCGAGTTTTCGGTAAGCAGGAAGAGTGATGATCCCCAATTACATCCAGAACAGTCTCCAGTTTAGTCACCTCGTCACCTATCCAGCTATCTCAGTCATGACTGACGATAAGATATACGAGACATACTGATATTCTCCTTTAAGAAATCGACCGATTTCACCATTCTATGTACCGTTTCATGAGTGCGAGTAGTTATCTCTAGCTAGGGCAGCGCTGAGTGCAGGTTGGTATCAAGTGAGAAAGGAACAGACCATAAAATCTTCTGAACACTTTATCATCTCCTTATTCAGCCTTTCTATTTCCTGTTTGTCGCCTCCAGAATGCTGCAAGCGTTCACCCAAAGAACGCTGAGAGGCGAGACGGACACTTGATAGTACATTTTCCAACTTTCT